TTTCTCCTCGGCCGCTCTCCGATGACATCAGATCTCTGCCATACTGGCATCCCCTGTTCTATGGCTGAATCCCATTTTCTTCTCTTCCAATAGGCGGAGCTGTGCCCTCTGAGCCGAGCTTCTGCCCTCTATGTGCTGACAGAAATCCCTGTACGGTGGCTCCTGGGAGTCTCTCAATCCTTAGTCCAGAGCCCTTTCACTTATCCGGCCCCTCCCCCTGTTCCTCCTCCCAGCCAGCCAGCCAGGTCCTGTTCACCAGAGGCGGTTCCCCAAGGATCTGATTACACTTGCAGCCCCACCGCGTGTCCTATATCCCGAACGATGAACACCCTCTCTGTCATTCATCTAAGCCCCAGTGCTGTGGTGGGGTGATCTGGGAACCAACAGTTTAATTTTTCTGGACCCCTTTGGTGGGCACGTCCCCAGAAACTGGCGGCTAAGATCTTGGGTGTCGCCGCTGGTGTTAAGGGGAGGTGGGGATCTGGAATCCCCTCTGCTTCCCTACAGACACGCCCCCAGAGAGATTCCCGAGGTTTCCTGGCTGCTTGTATCTGGAGGGGGTGGGAGTCACACACCTGCTAACGTGGATTCCGCTGGGAAGGAATTCTGTAGGCGGAACTCTGGTGATGTCACCACTCTGCTATGGCGGGCCCCAGGCTCCTTGCTGGAGTGTCCGAAGGGAGGGGTGGGACTGGTCTGTCTCTGGTTGGTTTCAGCTCCCGGTTCGCTATTTCATGAAGGCTTGGTGAGAGACCTCTTCCTAGAGTCCCTGCACTGCTCCTGCTGCGCTGCGCCTCGGAGGCTATCCGCCCTGAAGTGGGGGCCGTGTGCAGGCAGCTGACAGTCGCCGAGTCGCGCGGGCAGTGGCTGGCGGGTCTGGACCTCTGCGCTGCGTGGCGGAGATTCACTCGTCTAGCGCAGACTGTCACCTCCAAAAATCCTACCGATTCCCGGCCGGTCTCTCTTTAATGGAATTTTGCTAGGAGTTTCTCAGCAGGTCGAATCTAAGCATATCCATGCGTGTCTCTGACCCCGTAGTTGAGGAGGTACTGAAAGCGCTGCCTCCCCTCTCGCCGCCATGTTGGATCCCTCCACAATTTATCTTTAATAGATATATCTTATGGACATTAAAGATAGATGGGATTTGGAATTTTCTGGTTTTGTCTTTGGGGAAAAGACACATCAATGCACTAGCTCAGAGACTACAAAATAGCTTTAGTGGATTTATCCTGTGATTAATAGCCAGGGTTTCTTCTAAGTGTCATTCCCTGTGAATGTGGCCACAAAGGCATGGACCTACCACGAAGGGTTTCTGTTTCCAGTTCTGAGCTAGATATGCCATTGTTCAGAGTTCAATTTGCCAACAGTAATGTCAATGTCAGGGTCATTTGTATGGATTTGTTACTTTAGTGACACTGCCAATAATGGTTGTAGGCTGCTGTCATCAAAGCTGTGTCATGATAGGGTGGGGATATTTTCCTTTTATGGCCATCAACACACATTCCCAACAGGACTTGGCTTTTCCTACTTGCAATACCTTGACCTTCATCCATATTTAAGGGCCTATAGAATGCCTTCTTTATTGGCATTGCATCCTGCAGTGTAGCTTCAGGAAAAGGGACAATTTTCACAAAAATAGAGGCTACAAGCATAAGTGTATGAGTCTAAATCATGTCACTGTGTACATTATTACGTGGTAACAGTTTAACTAATGGAAAAGAGAATGACCTTATGTGTGGTGAACTGAGACATCACTTGGGGACTGCTCCTTCTCATTGGGTTGGGAAACTGAAATCCAAGATACACTGCATACATTGAACTTGTGTCTAATAAATACTACTGTGTTTGCCTTAGCTAGAGTGAAAGGAACCAAGAGTAAAAGTAGGAATAACCCCTCTTTTCATCACATAAATGACTCACTTGAGGAAGCTTGCTTTCTGTCTCAGCAGCCTTGTGCTCTGCCAGGTTAAAAGTCTAGTTCTCAAAGAGAAGCATTTCTCTGGAGGAACAGAGGAGCCACTGCACTGGAGGCTGTGACTGTCACCTTGATACATGATGTTCCTTTGCCAGTGAATCAGAAGACACAGAAAGGACTGACTTCATTGGTTGGGTAATGTGTTAAGTCAATTTTGCATCACTGTGACCAAAATACCTGACTAGAACAACTTAGAGGAGAAAAAGTCTATGTTGGCTCACAGTTTCAGAGGCTTCAGTGCATAGTCAGTGCTTTGACCCCAAGGTGAGGCAGAATATCATGGTGGAGGAAAGTTATTCAGTGTTCAGATTAAGGCAGCAGGGAAGAGGGGTGGAGGGAGAAAGAGAAAGGGAACAGGAGCAAGTAATGCCCTTCCAGATCATACCTCTAAGACCGACTTCCTTCAACCATACCTGATTCTGTACAGTTGTCACCACCTCCTGATAGTCCATTCAACTATCACTGGATTAATCCACTGATGCTATCAGGAACCTTTGGTCCAATCATTTCTGGAAGGCTTCGCCTGTGAATATTACTGTACTGTACAATCATTCAACACATAAGTCTTTGGGGGATACTCATGACCAAACCAGGATAGGTAATCAACCCTTCCATCTGGAAGCTTGGGTTTCTATCCTATCACATGGACAAGGATGTATGTAATTAGAATTCACAGATGCATTGTAGCATGTCATGATATTTTTATAGTCAGTGATAATTATCAATTGCTGCTTTCTGCAAATGTAACACTACAAGGACCGGGTAGCAAACTCTCAGAATCCATGATGATTAGTTTCTGGGTTATCCCACAAGATAAATGGAGAACAATAAAATATTAGGCCTTCCAAAATACTGGCTGAGGTTGAGGCACGTGCAGATACACGGGTGGAGGAGGCAGATGAACACCAATTAGATCTGGAGGCTACTGTGTCACCAGGCCTGCTGTTGAAGATTGGGGTTTCTGTATACCATGTCTAGAAATATGCCACATGAACAAACGACTCTGTGCCTCTTCATGTTCACTGATGCTCAGCCTGTAGTGGATAATCTCTCTTTCTCTTTCACTATGCTTTCCCCTCACTGTTAGAATTTTAAGCCTCCAAAAAACATTAGCTACTGAAACTCTGCCAATAACTGACGATTCCAGGTTAAGACTAAATAATATTTAATTAAAAGAGCAGAGCTATATTTAGAATTTTAAAATGTATAAGATGTTTCATTTCATGGATTAGAAAAATATGTCCTAGAATTGTTAAGTGTCTTAGAGAAACTTGTCTAGGGATAAAATTGGAAACCAGAATTACCAAGGTTATGTTGCTGCTTTGGAATATGGCTCTATAGATTGGAGTGGCCAGTGGCAAAGTCTCGTGAAAGCTGGAAAATTCCAAGATGATTTGAACCAAGCATCATTAATGGTAAAGGACTAAAGATTGACGTTAGGAATGCTTCCTGCTAATGTGTGTGTGTGTGTGTGTGTGTGTGTGTTTTCCACAGTGTAATAAACATCAAGGTGGAATGCAGATGTATGTGCTATTTGCGGCTTCCCTTCTCTGCCATACAGCAATTGTAACACTATAAAATGTTATTAATATATGTACTCTTTGGGTGACATCTAGGGAATACTTTAAACCATAGCCCATCTTATTTCATCAATATTTTAAATTTTAATAAAATCATTGTGAAATTGAGCTCTGGGATCAAGTAAAACCAAATTCAGATCCTGACTCAAGCATATGCAACTGTGTGCTTGCTGCATGTGCGTGACTGTGTAAGCAAAAGCTATGCCTCCTGTCTTGATTTCTTTGTTCATCAAACAGGGTTTGCACACTTATTGGCAGAATTATTTTTGTGTAAAGTACCAGAAGCATTAGATTTATATCTGTTCACCAAACCAAAGAGACATAGACACATTTGATAAAAGTTTTTTTTTTTTTTTTTTATTGTTAGTGAAAGTTGAAGTTCCCTTACTCTTGAAAACAAAACCTTGAAAATAGCATGACTTCTCAAATCCCACCTTCATAAAATATATTGTAAGTGAATATTTTACTTGAAAAAAGTAGTATGCTCACTTTAAGTATCATTGGACACAGAGATGATTAGATTTGGACATACTCAGATATTAATAGTTGATATGAAAATTACCAACTGGGAGCTTTGTTTAAAACTTTTGTGCTTCTTACAGTTTCTAAATGATGAGCACAGAATAAATATTTACCTTGAAGGTGGTAGTTTTGTGTTCTTCAATAAAGCAGTGACTTAGATATTGAAGCAACTTGGGCATAGTAAAATAGATCTGGAATGAGTCTGAAAGTTACTCTGTGAGGTAACAGTCTGTATTTTTACACAACATTTTGTAAACAAGCAGAACAGGTAAAAGGTAACAAGTTACTCTTGGGGAATGATATAAAACAAAACTATGTCACAATAACAGTTGAATGACAAGCTGCATTTGCTTACGCCATCATGACCTGCTGAAATTGTGAAAAAAAATACAAGATTTTTATAAAATCAGTCAATAAACTGCTGGAAGTATTTAAACAACAAAACAAAAAGAATTCTCTAATAAAAGATCTTCTCCTATATTTCCAGAGCATTTATGAAATAAAATTTTACCTCCTCTTTGCATGATTCATGTTATGGCTCATGTACTCTAAAGTTCTGAGCCCCAAATCCATTTGAAATAAAGTCATCATTTCATTACTCATCTTTGTAATCTTCATTACTTGTTATTCTTTCAAAACTCTTATGGTCAAGCGGTGCTCAGGGAGCTTGTCTCTTTCAGTTAAACTATTCACAAAAATAATTATTAAAATCCTACTATGTACATACTATTTATGTCTAAATAATGTATACAGTAAGCCTCCATTCTAGAAAAACCAGGAAACTAAGTTACTGGTTATAGTAACCACAGACAAGAAGTTTATCTATTTCCTAACAGGTTGTCAACACTCTGTGATCCCAGGCATATCTAGACTCACTAACTCTGGTGTTAACGATTCCTTCGTTCTTTCAATAACAATCTGGCTCATTTATTGCTACTCAAATGAACCTTATGTATAATCCTCTTTACAGAATTCTTTACCTCCTTATTCCTTAAGCTGTAAATCAAAGGATTCAGCATGGGGATCACTACTACATAGAAAACTGAAGCAAATTTGTCTGTATTCAGGGAATGGTTAGATTTGGGTTGTAAGTACATAAAAATGATCGTCCCATAGTACATGGTAATTGAAGATAAGTGAGAAGCACAGGTAGAAAAAACCTTCTGTCTTCCTTTAGCTGAGTGCTTCTTCAGGATTGCAGACACAATGAACACATAGGAGACGAGAACTATGAGCAGAGAGAAGCACACGTTGAACCCAGCCATGGTCAGCAACATCAACTCCTTGACTTGGGTGTCAGAACAAGCCAGTGGAATCAAGGGGATATCATCACAGAAGAACTGGTTGACAACGTTCGAGTCACAGAAAGACAAAATGAATGTGCTCACTGTCTGTATAAGTCCCATGATGAATCCATAAATATATATGCTAGTGACTATTTGAAAGCAGAGTTTCCTAGGCATGAGAATTATATAGCGCAAGGGATTACAGATAGCCACATATCTATCATAGGCCATGGCGGAGAGCAGGAAAACTTCACACACTGAAAATGTTACAAAGAAACACACTTGAGCTGCACAGGCATAAAGGGATATACTTTTAATTTCACATAAACAATTAGCCAGGGCATTTGGGGTCACAGAGGAGGTATAACAAAAATCAACAAAAGCCAGATGGCTGAGGAAAAAGTACATGGGTGATTGAAGCTGAGAACTGAATTGGATTAGAACAATCAATCCAAGATTACTTATGATACTCACTAAATAGATGATGAGAAGGATCACAAAAACAATGACCTGAAACTCAGGATCGTCTGTAAGTCCCAGAAGGATGAACTCAGTCACTGCTGAATGATTATGTTTGGCCATTTAGCAGATATAGAAGTTTCTGTAGTAAACCCCTCCAGAGCAAACCTTCTGAGTTATCTCAATTCTGTAGGAAATAATCCACATTCGTATTAGAATAGGAAAGACTCAAAAAGATGTGCTATATTTACTCAAAGGAGAACTGTGATGTGTACTCTCAATTACACTTGGATTTTCCGATTTGTGTGTGTGTGTGTGTGTATGTGTGCATGCACACATGGACACATGTGTAGATAAGACTACATTAAACATGTCAAAGGAAATAAAAATGTGTGAAAGATAGGATATGAGAAATTTTTGAACCATATAAAGAAAACACTTTAATGGTAACATATAAGGTCATAAGCCAAAATATTGACAGTATATCTCTAATCATACAGTTTGGGGGTATTTATAGAATATTCTTCTTCCTGCATATCTACATGCTCTGAATATACTTTTATCAATATGCAGTATTTAGAAATTTTAGAGAAAAGTAAAAAAACTTCAGTACTATTTTGAAAAACATACATGCACATACCTAGACATATGCACAAATATATATTTACAATTTTCTTCTTAAGGATGAATAATATATATTTAGATAATTCAGAAGTCTTATTTTATCCTATATCTTTAAGTATCCAGTGACAAAAGGGAAAATAATATACTACTAGACTGTAGTTTATTTTATGCATATTGCTTTCTAGTAACCAGAAAGATGAGAAAATTTAAATTCTTTCTTTAAGCAGAACAGAGACATATAATTGTCATTATTTCTGCATTTTTGGGGAGTGCTAGAGATTGAATTTAGGGTCTCACAATATGCTAAGTAAGTGCTCTACCACTGAGCTACACACCCTGCCCCATTCTTTCTTCTGTCTTCTGTGTCTTCTTGGATAGTCTTTACCCAAGCCCTATAGATGGACAAGGTAGATGCCCTGTTCATTAATTGATAGAATAACCATCCAATGTTTGGTTAAATCAATTAATCTCTAGAAGACTCTTATGGCCCACATGATAACACTTTATCCCCAAACCCTTACCTACAGTCTATGAAAATCATGTTTCCTTTACCTAAAATTTCACAAGTTCCAAAATATTGGATACTGTAGAAATTGATAACATGTGCTCAAATACCTAAAAATTGCTCAATTCACATTATTAATAGTAATGAAAATACTAGGAATTACTACTATCACCATCACTATTGTCATAAATTCAGTTTTGTTCTTAAAAAGCTCTACTGCCTACTGCCATCTTTTAGTCACATGCAGGAAATCACTTTATTTCCAGAACAGTCGGTTGGTTTGAAATTTCTCAGAGACTTATCTTTGATTCCTTACCCTGCTGGCTGTCAGTATTTTGGGGATTGCCATTCACATTCACTGTTCAGTTTTCTATGGACTCTTGCTTTGAAATTTATTTAACTACCCCCAACATCTTCAAATTTTTCTTCTGTTTCTTTAGCTGTTCTATATTTGAGGACCCAAAATCTAGGCAGTTTTCAAATGGTCTTACTTACACTTACACTTACACTTACTTACTTATTTCTTACTTACTTACACTTACTTACTTATTTCTTACTTACTTACACTTACTTATTTCTATTTATCTAAAGTGAAAATCTGTGCCCCCATGTTTTTTAAAAAAAGTACATACATTATACATATAAACAGTCGTTACTGGAAGCTTTATGTATTCTTTTGGTGGACCCTGTTAAAATACTATTTAGTGTCTCAGTTTAGTCAGAACAAACAGAGCCACTTAAAATATTATAGATTTAAGATATTTAAAAATAGAGTTAAGACCTACAGTAATTTTGGAAGAAATAGAACAGTAAACATTAAGAAGGCTAAAGGTGTAACATCATAGAAACTCATTTTAAGAATACAAACCTGACACACAGGGGTGATTGTGGAGAGATTTAAGAGATGGCTATGTCCACCAAGTGGTAGATCTGCAGAAATATCAAATGTTCATGTCATCACTTTGGATGTCTGTATGCCCTACTCTGTGAAAACATCGGCTTTTGTTTTTTTCTGTGCCTCCCAGATATAACACATTTCTTCTCAATGACAGACTTTAACTCAGGAAAGGGATTTAGCAAGTCATCAATTCTCAACTCTAGCAGAAGTTGTGAAGTCAAAGTGACAACAGGGATTAGATAAATTCCTTCTTTTGCAATCCAGCACCAACACACAACCATTGGAAGAAAATTCAGCATCCAAATAAGTACATTAACAGCATCATCCTTCATTGCAATATGATATAATTCTCTCTCATAAAATTAAACCCTTATCTAACTCCTTCCATTCCAATAGTCACAAAAAAAAGAAAGAAAAGAAAAAAAAAACTGTCATTTTATCCACGTTGGGAGAGAAGCTGAAACACACTCTAGATTTCAAATCTTGAAAATCAAATGTTAGGATACAGGGTTAAATACTACTAACATACCTCATATTAGTTCATGATTGGACCAGGTGAAGATGAAATTATAACCTTAAGTAGATGGAACAAAAGTGAATGTCAACTGCAATTTAATAATCCCAGAAGATTCAGATGACCACTTCTTTGAAACTTCTTATTTGATTTAGTGGTCTTGGACATACTGAAATTAAACTTTAAAGGTAAAGAGCAAACGACTTGGGTCGTTTAAACTTTAAAGGTAAAGAGCATTTGACTTGGATGTCTCCTTATACCTTATTATTTTAATGCTGCTCTTACACATTTGCTGATTAATTCAAAGACCACACAGTGTAAGCTGTATCCAGAGCAAAAGATGGCTCTGCAAACTAGCATTTCCTGCAGGGTAAGCTACATGGGCAGCACAACACAGCAATTCTAGTAAAATTTAAAATTCCATGAAAGGTAGGGGTGTTTATAAAGCTTTGTAAAACCCCGGAAGGGAATTACAGTAGAGACTTATGATTTGGGGGGTAAGGGATAATTTCTTCACTGGATAATTATTTGTCTTTTGAGAATAAAGTTTCTGACTTTATTAGATCCTTGGAGAAACTGAACAGTTCACTCCAGGCTAGATACCATGTTATCAGGACACTTGAGCTGGGTGTTGTCTGAATCTCTATGCCTTGAAACAGGACATGCATAGCAGCTCTAAGATTTATTGGCATAGGGCTTGAGCTTATCCTATAGACAGAAATGACTTGCATAAGATTGTGACTCTGATTTCCATGGTTAATAGCAATTATATCTATGAGGTTGTTGATCTATCTCTTCCTCCCCCCTTCCTTGCCTCCTCCCTTCTTCCTTTCCGTTTTTGGATTCAATTTTAGTCATGTTCTATATTTTATGCTATACTCTGCTTCGATAAGCTTGATTTTGATTTTGTATGCATATTTTAATTTTGCAATGCAGTCCATATTTATGAACATTGATAACTTCATTTTCCCTCTTCTATCTCTATATTTGTGCCTCTTTGGTGCCCATATTGGTGCAAAAATTTGACACCAAAAATAAAGAGATAAGCATGAGTCACAAACTCAGAACTCTTCTGTGTGATTGAAAATGGTCAAATCAAACCAGGCGTGGTGGCACACGCCTGTAATCCCAGCGACTCAGGAAGCTGAGGTAGGAGGATCACAAGTTCAAAGCCAGCCTCAGCAACTGTGAGGTGCTAAGCAACTTAGTGAGACCCTGTCTATAAATAAAATACAAAATAGGGTTGAGGATGTGACTCAGTGTTAGAGTGCCCCTGAGTTCAATACCCCCCCTCAAATGATCAAATCATGATATTATATATGTATCAAAGAGAGAGACCACATATATATGGTTACCAGTTGCTGTGTAGTGTCATTATTTTTGTAAATTGCTTATTCTAAGTCATGTGAATTATAATTAATTATGTTGGGATTAGAATCCAGGACTTCTGGCTCATAGTAAAAAGGGAGATAATGTACAAACTCCCATCATAAACTTTTGATGTTGCTTAATTCTCAAAAAGATTAGATTGAGTAACAGTGTTCTCATTTAACTGATGTGAAAGTTGACTCATCCAGTATATCATATATGTCCTACAATGATATGTTTGGAATCTAAGCACCATCTTTGACTGACTAGGAGGCATCATCTCTTTGCATAGGGCTGCCTTGCCCTCTGGACATTGTGTTGTAATACACGCTCTAATAAATAATGACCAGGTCACCCAGACATAATTTTCCTAGGAGAACTACTTGTAATCCCAAGTACTGGTAAATGGTCTACAAACAAAATGATCTATAAACATAAAAGCTTTGTGTCAATCAACTGTGAACATATTTGTTTAGAATTTGATTATCCCTCCCCCTGAAATATAATTTGGGGGTAGACTGAAGTATAATTCTATCTCTGAATTATATCTTTTTAGATAATCTGGACAAAGAAACCTAACTGGTCTCTAGGCATAAGAAATCATCTCAATTAAAGAATTCCAGGATGGTAAAAGGTCATGTTTGATCAGTGGTAAGGTAAGAGTAGAACTTTCCTTTTAACATGGACAAGTTGGCAGATGCAAATTAAATAGCAGTTTTATACTGTCATGTATGGTTTCAAAAAATTAGGGCTCTAAGAAATGTATCACACTAGGAAACTTTGATTTTCATATGGAAAATTGTAATGCAGTCTTAGAATTTAAAACTGAGGATTGGTATAGAAGGGAATTCTGAACTTTCATCTATGCTATGACTATAGTTAGGTATATACTGACAGTTTTTATGTATTTTTCATTGGAAAACTGGCACAAATTCTTATGGACCAGAAAACTATTGTTCATACATTTTCCATTTGAAAAATGAGAGAGAGGGTATAAATTCTTAGTTCTTTTCATACCTAAAGTCACAGTCTATGTGAAATTTTATAGGAATTTTGTTATAAAGTGAACAAAAATTATATCCCATCTATGTATGATATATTAAAGTGTATAAATGCATTCTACTGTCATGTATAACTAATTAAATTAAATAAAAAATTGAACAGATGTACATAAATTACATATTAAGAAACAATCATGCTGATAGATTTTCGGT